CGCCTTGAAACTATCGCTAATTTGCTCGCAACCAATTTATTTCATGTGGTCATTTAGTGAAGAGTTATGTTACCATATCTGCATGCATTATTCAATTTATTTTATTTGATATCGTCGTTTCAAGTGACTGGCTGTTGCTTGATATCCCCGGTGTGGCTGCGCTTGATGTACATGTTGACAAGGCGCCTACCTGTCTAGTACCCACTACCTCATCCATACTGGCTCCAGGAGACAGTTGGTCATTGCTGGAGGGGACGGGGTGCACGGTCCTTGTGGCCGTGCTAGGCTCGAAGAGTGGTTCCATGCACTCAGTTTGGATCGGATCACGGTCCAGCTATCGCCTTGTGTGCACTCGCTTCCCAAATACAGCGTGCTTGTGTTTGCCTGTGAAGGAGTGTGGGACGGCTCCGTTGATGAAACGTGCCTCCCATCCACATGCCTCCTGGTCGTATTCCTTCGGGTTCATACGGGATATGGGGTGTGTGGATGGAACTGTGAGTGGTACAGCGCAAGCCATCCATGGTCCTTCTGTATGCGCAGGCGTCCTGCGGTTGTCCTATGGCGACCACGGGTGACAGGCAAATCCGGATACGGATGCCGCCAACCATATATGTTGTATACGGCCAAGTGTACAATTGGAAGTGACACGACGTATGGACATATATAATACAACTATAAGGAAGAGGGTAAAAGAAGAATAGAACCGGAGTCATGGGACAGAATCTCACAACAGGTTCGCCACTATTCACGGTTTCTTGACATAGATGAAAGGGTTTCCAGCCAAATGTGTTCATCGTCCTTGTGTCTCCAACCAGGGGGTCGAGATCGGCCGACCACGCCAAACGTGAGGTCAGTGTTTTCACACTTTTGGCCCAAGTCATTCGCTGGCCACCTTGTCTTCGCTTCCAGCCGACTTCTGTGCACGCACAGAGTGCACGGTGAGGCAAACGCTCACAAGGCATGCGATGCACGTGCCCAAGCCACCGAAGCCTATGCATTGAAATCATACGGCTCAGTAACCGGCAAAGTCTGACCGATTTAAAAATCCTTCGGGAAACATCCTTATTACTAACGTGGTGTTGCCACCGCACACCAGCAATGCTCCGAAGACAGCGGTGATTAAAGACAGACAGACTCTGAACGACCATTGAGCGAAGAGGCCAAGTCTAGCAACCATAGAGCAGGACCACTCTCACCGTGGCATTGAAGACTCGACCCTTCACGAATAAACTCAGTTCGCGGTGATGGCAGAGATTACCAAAGGCAATGCCGGTCTTAGAGACGCGCAAAGAGATCTCGTCCGTTAAATCTTTAGCGTTTATGCAGCTTCCGAGGTAAACGAACTTGTCGACCACTTTCAGATAATGACCTGAAAGAGTAAGGGTGGGAGCAGATCCTAACCAGCCCTGTACGAAGACATTACACAACGAAGGAGCGTAGGTTTTTCCAAACTACGAGACAGACACCGCCAACCTGCAAAGCACATTTTGGAGGACTGAGATGGATCGCAAAGTACGGCGATGTCGTCCGCATACTCCAAATCGCGAAGACGATCCCCCGAAAGCAGGTTAACGCCGCTGGGTCCGCAATGCTCCAGAGCACTCCCCATGGTGTCATCAATAGCGAAATTTAACAGGGTGATGCAGGACAGCCCTGTCTCACGCCACTGGTGATACTAAAGGGGGGCGAAGGTCCGCTGTACACCCGCAATCGGCCAGATGTTCGAGAGTAGATGGCTTGAAGCATATAGAGGTATTTCTCAGGCACCCTTTCTCAAGGGATAGCTCCGGAGAGCGGCTCGGTCAACTGAGTCAAACGCGGCTCGTATGTCTAAGAAGACAATGATCGTTGGCCGGCCGAAAGTTGGATGATGCTCAAATATTTGGCGGAGAGTAAAGATGTGATCGATACAACTCCGGCCAGAACGGAACCCACCTTCCACATCGCGTAGGTCTTGTTCGCGCACAAAACTGAACCTCCTTAAGAGCAGGGCGGCGAGCACTTTAGAAACAGTGCAGATGAGATTAATCCCTTTGTGGTTAGCGCAGTCTGTCCAAGCACCCTTTTGAAGATGGGCACGATATCCGCTAGAGTCTAATCGCACGGGATTGTTAGTAAAAAGCTTTTGGAGGAGGAAAGTTAGCTCTCGAACAAGTGATGGACCTCCATCATTGAAAAGAGACGGAGGGAGTTCGTCCGGGCCAGGGGCTTTATAGCGCTTTAGGAGGCAAAGCTCATGAGCAACCTTAGCCCCAGGTGGTGAATTGTTTACACACTAGGAAGCACTACGGATTCCCGAATGAGGGATCACCGGTGCAGCAGGCCAGTTGAACAGCTGCTCAAAGTGCTCAGCCCAAAGCAAAAGTCGATGTTCTTGGCAGTGCATTCGTTCGCCATTGGTTTCGTACAAAACTTCGCTTACAGTCGGTTCTTTGCAGCCAGTGGATCGGATCAGGTGGAAAAGATTTCGGAAATCCACCCGAGCTACCGCCTGCTCCATAACAATGATCCGTTGCGTCCACCAGGCCTCCCGATCCTTTTGGAGGAGCTGTTTGAGTTCAGCGTTAGTGGTCCTGCGTAGTGTATGATACTCAAGGCCAGCTGGAATTGCCCGACGAGCCTCAAGAAGTTGGAGAGACTGTGCAGAGATTCAGTGGTTGGCAGGACTACTAGTGAAACCACAAACCAAGATCTCAGAGTTGTGCAAGACGCTGCGGATGTGTGCTTAGTGTGTTCCAACCTCAGAGCATAAGGCGCTTTTGAGATTTGAGGCCAACGCATCCTGAAACGCGCTGAGAACGCTGGGAGCAGAAAGGTTGGCCATATCAAGCCGTTGGGAACCGCCATAACGTAGTGCGACCTTGGCACACACCAGCGCGTGATCCGAAGTGAGGAACGTACTCCAGATGATTTGCATTCCCGTATGCAGCCCCGCCAGCGATAACTGATGGCGATGTAGACAATGTGCCCATGGCTAGTTAGGTGGCGGAGGCCACTAGGTCGTGCGTTAGCACCAGGATCGCCGAAAGCTAGTACTCGACAGTAGGAGCCCGTGATCGCTGCAAAGCTGAAGTAGGCGATCACCGTTATCTGTTCTGCGAGTGCCATGGTCAAGCTGACCACCGCGTTCACGCTCTTCAACCTCTAGTTTACCGACCTCACGTTTAAGTCCCGTGCAAGCATCACGATGCCCGTACGGCGCTTTTTTCGGATAAGGTCGGATAGTTAACAGTAGCACTTGTCTTTGACTGACTCCGGGTTTCAGTCTGTGGGAGCGTATAATGCTACAACGAACGACAAGGTCCGCTGGCTCCGGGATTGGAAAGTCGTACTGAAATCTCAAGTCGGATCGCGCAGTCGACTGTTGACAGGGATCCAGTCAAGTAGCGCGACCTCAGCACGTGTGCTCAATGCAATCCCCACGCCAGCAAAACCAGCGGTTCAGGCGATTGTGTCTCCAGATAAGCGCAATATGAAAATGACAGCAGAACTCGTAGGCAGCGGAATCAGTCGAAGCGTCGTGGTAGGGTTCTGTAATCAGGTTTCTGCGTGGCAGTAGACATCGATGGCAGTAGTCTCAAGCGCGCGAGCAAGGGCTGCTTATGATCCGAGCTGTATCAGTGTCTGGAAGTTAAAAGTTGACAACTTGAATTGGAAACAGGGTGCTAGAAAAGGCTTGGCAGTACTGCTTGGCGGAGCCCCTTTGGACTTAAATTCCTGAACTGTATGACGAGAACACTCGCCCAAAGCGAAACGGTGTTGTGGACCCGAAAACGGAGGGGGTTACCAAGGATGGAGGAGTTGAACAAACGTGGAATAAAGTAACCGAACTGTGGTGCGGTAGAGCACGAAATAACACGTTCGGCCGCCAGCACATCGGCAGAGGGTAGCGTTGGTAAAAGGCAGAAAGAGTGAGCGGAAAGACGTTGATGCAATGGTTCATATGTTGCGATAGTCACAGATAGCGTCACTTTGCCTCTACAAGATGCCGTAAACTGTAACGCAATCGGCTTGATGGCAATAAAGCGTCCCGCAGATTTGTCATTGTTGTGAATGCCGGCCAACGAGAAGGGCCACGGCGCGTAGCGCCCGAAAATAGAGTGAAAGCAATGCGCGCATACAACAGAATGACAAAGGCTGTCACATAGCAACCGAGGTACCGTGCAAATTAGATGGAACCTGTAGAAATTGAGCCCATTCATCGAGGCCATCCGCTTTAGACTGATGACGTTGAGTGAGCAGAATCAAAATTACTTCGGCTAGTCGCCATAATCCGTGAAATCAGCAATCGGTGCTGACAGATGCAGAAGCAAAGGAACCCTAAGGAAGGTGATTCTAGCTATATTCCAACCTAAGCAATCAACTCCAGGTGAATTTAGCAAGAACAAAAAAGGATGACCACCTTGAAGAGAAAGTAGTTCAAAAGAACAGCTAGGTTTAAAGTGTCTTACGATGCGGTTACTGTGTGTGTCTTACAGTCCCACAGGATGAATGAAGCGGGAAATGAGGGTTGCATAATTTTAGTCCCGCAAAAACGCACGCCTGAGAGAAGAGATACAAAACGGAAATAGGAGATTGATAGACCGATGAATTCTAATGAAAACGATGGATGAAGAGGTACCACTTGATAAGGTGTGCCCCAAAACACTCGGAGCGATGGGTGCTGGCGGACCGCAGAGTAATAACAACAAACTTCGTGAAGACGACGAATGTGGACGAGATGACAGTGATTTGATTACACTGCAGTCCAGGGCAGGCTAACAAGATAAGGTAAATGAATAATTGGATGGATGACAGTTGCATAACGCAAGTAAAAATAGCTCCACCCAAGATAAGAAGCTACTTGTACTACCCAAACCTGGGGAGTTATTTCGGATTAGGTGGACATACGATTGGTGTCATCTCTCTACTCGATTTTCGGATCACGATTTCAGTCTTAACTGTACGTTTACTTAGGACACTGAGATAAAGGAAGCAAAAACAAGCCATAAAACACCTACCTCATGCAGCAAACCACAGGTGACTTGAGCTGGCACAATGGATCCGGCCTTCATGTGTCGCTCAATTTCCTCACCATACGCGGAACCAGACTTGCATGCTTCTCGAAGCAACTCACCGGCGGACAGATGTATAAAACCATAATCCTTGAGGTGAGGTGGGAAAGCACATAGGAAGTGCGTTAGCGTGAGTAAAGCCCCTATAAAACGATATGCCAGACAAACGAAGGAAATTAGGGTACTTCTTCATTCTATGATGCAGTAACTGCATGGGAAGAGTTTAGCACAACAGTAAAGAAGTGAAAGATGGGAATTGTCACTCCGTCGACCGGACACAAAGCGAGTAGGACCAAGTGGAGAACAGATCAACCAAAGCGATGTGTATCCAAGCACAGCAATAGTTCGTTTCCCAACTTTGAAACTCGCTCCTTCATTCCTTTCATACATTTGATCAAGCCAATAACACCTTAAATTTATATTATTATTATTATTAGTATTAGTATTATCTGCGCTCCTTCTCCAACCTACTTTCGTACTATTCCATCCAACGTTCTCCATCACCTTCTAAAGCATAGTTTGTAATTCTCATCACGGCGACGTGGATCACAAAAAGTGAACCTACTGCAAGAATCACAAATGTTTAACGGAACTGGACCGAAGTATGTAGCCTTGAAGTTCTACATCGAGGATCTAAGTCCTATATTGACGAAAGCACTTGTTTGATAAGCACATGCATGACATTAACTTGGAAAAATACAAAGATGGACGGAGCACAGTGGTATTTGGTTCCGCTATACATTTCAGAGGTGGAAAATACGTGACGAAAGGTGTAGCGCATAATCCTCGTCTCTTAAGATTCGCTTTGGCGTGAAATACATCCGATTCCAAGGACCTAACACGATTTGCAGATCCTGAAGTTGTTAATGGGTCACTACGAGATATCTGCATTAAATAAGAACCAGAGTGGGCAGAAACATTCATGATGTTTCAAGCGGAGTTGAACTTCCAGGTGATCCGTAGATGGCTAGTCATTCACCAATGTACAGAACTGATCTTTCTGATGAAACTGTTGTTTTATTATCCTCTGACTCAATCCCACAGCACCCAGCCGGGATTAACCAGTCCCGTACTCTCTCGTTACCGCTTCTACAACCCTTAACGCAATTCAACTTGGCAACACTTAATGTACGCACCCTAAAGGAGACTGAACAACAAATTAGCTTTGCATGCTCCTAGAATTTCTTGCATTAAGCGTTTGTTGCTTGTCTGAAATATGAATATAGGATCCTATCAGTCGACCAATTTGCATCACTAATTTACCCATACACCCGTTTTCACCTTCGTCTTTCTAAAGACGCCAAATCTACCGCATCTGGGCAAGTTGGTGTTCGGAGCGCGCTTAGTGCTGGAGCCGAAATTGCGTTTCTCGAACAGATTCCACCCAAATGTCGCTTCTACGCTATGAGATCCCATGGATCGTGCAGAGTTAACACATGTGGGGAAGATAAACGTGCTATTTTCATACCGTCCGCCTATGCTCCAACTGACTGTAGCCCAGATGGAGCCAAGAACCAATTCCATCAGAACCTTCATGGTCTACTGCTAGGGGCTCCCAGAACGGACAAAATTATTATGGCGCGAGAGTTCAACTCGCGCGTTGGTCGTTTACTACGAAGCGAACGCCAGCTGTGAGGTCCACATGAATATGATGAACTTCGCTCGGACAATGGAGAAAAACTGCTCAGTGTACGTATGGTCCAGCACGAACTTTCGACATACCAGGCACCACTACGTTACCTGGAGTTACGCATCATCCTCCCGGCTCGACTACATGGCAAAAAGTCACCGGTGGAGTGACAATATTCGGGACTGCAGATCCAACTAGCCAACTCGTGTCGATTCTGATCATGCGCCGATATGTGTGACGATTCGGCAGCTCGCCTAAGATCAAGCAAATTCCACTAAACGCGGATAGAATAGAAGACCTCACCGTGCAAGTGAAATATCAACAAAATGTTCGTGAGCTTCTTTTTCTCCCTTCTCGGGGCGTTGATCAGTATTGTTACGCCTACAACAGGTTCGGTTTTAAGCGAGTTTGTCTCGCTGCGGTCTTGTTCGTTAAACAACTAATAGTTGGAGATCCTCGAAAAGCTTTACCCGTCAATTTGGAACACGATGAACCTTACTGGTCAATTTCGCAACTTAAATTAAATCTTCACCATGACCGTGAATCTTGGTGATTTAAACAACCCACAAAAACGGAGGCTAGTGCCCTTGCTGAGAATAGCCACAGACTGTTTTACTCAAATCCACCGGACGCAAATCACGTGCCATCAGTGAGACAGTCTGCGAATTAAATATAAAAAGGAAACAACTTATGTAAGCGTCTGGGTCACTTTGTGGAGCAAGTTGCCTCCTAATTTAAGTACCCGAAACAACATATCTTCGTTGCTACTATGTAGTGCCTGACTTATCTGCACAGCTCCTTCTAGTAATGTGGAAATTTAGAGAGAAATCTAGACTCTGAAACGAGACAAATCTCCTGGATTTGATAGTATTCCTCCGGCCTTATTCATAGATGAAGGGAGCGTGGTCGTCAACGAAATCCTCTCGTTATTTATGAACTAGTGTGAACTAGTGAGAAACTTCGCAACTCCTGGGGCGAATCTGTCTTGGTTCCAATTCAAAAGAAAGGCTCCTGTAACAAATGCACCAACTACTGAGAAATCTCAGTTGCTCCGTCGCGTCCAAGGTTTTTGTGTCCATGCTGATTCGTAGGCTTTCAGTTAGCCGGGAGATTTCATCGCGAGGAACAGGCTGAGTTTCTTGTGGACCAAGGTTAAATCGACCAGATAGTAACTGCGTCAGATTATGCTACATCTTCACGTTCATCAAAGACGAACGATTGTGATGTTTTTAGATATTCGAACCGCTTTTGACTCAGTAGAAAGATCATCCCTATCGAACTGTGTGCCAAGAAACAGTGTATCAGACAAGTTTGTCGTAATCCTGAAAGAACTGTATAGTCATTCATGAGGCAAAGCTAGAGCTTACGGGAGTCTTTCTTTTTCATCCGCTGTTACCAGCGGGACACGCCAGACTTGCCTTATCACACCGTTAATTGTTCAATATTGCAATCGAAGATGTCTATCTCGCACTGAAAGGGGTCTAGATCTGCGGCGTTTAGCTTCTATCCGAGGACAGTTGTAGACCTGGATTATGCTGAGATCGTTCTGTTGGGGAAGACGCGCAGGACGTCCGAAACATGTTAACCAATTAGCGATGGAGATAACTAAATATGTCCAGTATCTTTCCAATCCAAGTGCAGTTTGCTTCAGCGGTGTCCGTGCTAACCATTGTAGGTGACAGTCTGGAGTAAGTTAATAGTTGCATCACGGTATGTGGCGGTACTTGAGATGAAATTCTACGAGGAATTGTCAAAGCTCGCCTTGCATATGCTAGTCTGACACACTTGTGGGGTTGCCGCGACGTCAGTCTCAAGCTCAACGTCAGTGTACAATGTAAACATCCGCGGGTTTCTTCTGCACGGCTGTGAGACAGCCTGTTCGCGCGAAGGATTTGAGAGAAGTGTAAACTTTCGACCGCCGCTGTTTTTGAACGATTGCTCAAGTCTGGTGGCAGCACTAGGTAGGCAGTACAGAATTCAGAAGGCAATACTCGGAACGAACAGTCATTGCCTCCAGAACATTACTTTCCAATACCGTTTGCATTGATTGAGTCATATACTCCACATGCCAGCCCATCAGTTTCCTCGTAGAGCCAAGTTTTATTTTTGGACATGAACAGAAAAAGGTGTGTCGGCGGACAACCGATGATATGGGAGAGGAACATAAAGAACGTTGCTTCATGTCTAGAGTCCGTTGGATTCGACCTTCTGCCAGGTTGGGGACAGCGTGATGGTTAGAGATATTTGAAGGTCATGGCTCGCAATAGAAATCAATTGCGCCCCTGATGCTCCATAAACCTTTTCACGCAATATTCAAGTTCAAACAAAACAACGACGAAAAACTCAAAACGGCGTATGTGAAACATTAAAAAAGCACATCCCATTTTTGTACCGTGTTCCATTTCCATTACCCCCCCCGGTTCTGATGGCACAGCTGTCCGTTTTCAAACTTTGAGTGAAAATACATACAGACTGCAACAACCCTGGCCTTTCCGTGTACTCATGATGAAAACAGCCATTGATCTTGGTAACCCCCGGGAGGAATTCCGTCTCATACGGTGGGCAGGTAGTAGTAGACCTAGTGTCAAGCAAGTAATATGCAAAGAGAGAGGACAGCTTGTCCACAACCTGTCCATAGCCTTTGAAACACTTGGCTGAATGCTTCAAGAAGAAACTTAATTGCCATATTCCTTGCTGACCAGCGATCATCCTATCTCACGGAACGTCCCTCCGGATCCACCACTGCGCGCAGAAGTCAACCGCGGGATCAAACTGCAGAAATTGATTAAAGAAACAGAACCAGACGGACTTCAAGGCAAATTGTGGCCGCTGCAAAATATGCAGCGGCATAAGACCACCGTCAACTACCTTATTTAATATCACCATTGTCGAAGTTATGGAAACTGAGTCTATCAAACTCGATTAAGTTGTGGAGTTTCTTCCAAGTAATCAACTACTCGACTTTGAGTGCACCTAATTTCCATAAGGTATGACAGTTCTGAAACTTACCGGGCATCAGTAAACAAATTACCGCTGACTGTCAGTCGTATCGGGCTGTTTAACACCCATAAAATGGCTTTCCTCCATGATTGGCAGTGACCAGCTTTTAAGCTGACTCTTTGTGCAGGTCGGCTAAAGTTGTTCGGTAATTAAAATCACCTAGGCAGCTACATCAGCATACGTGAGATAGGAAATGAGGTCACAGATAGTGAAACAGTGCCTCAAGGAGCTATCGCTGGTCTTCGTCACACGACGCCGGTACGATAACACCCTCGCCCTAAATGGCAGAGTTTACAATGTTGCCGCTCATCCAACCCCACTGTATGTTTGCAAAAACTTGGACTATCAAATCGCAGATGTAAAGAGCCCAATTGTATTTGACCACAGTACCTTCGCAGTTCAATTCAAATAGTGGGAACACAAGGTGAGCAATGAAGGCGTTCGCCGCCGCAGGGAGAACAAGTTGACCACAGTGTCGTCATCTTACGCGCTAGACCCAGACGGCTGAACCATGTGTTACCTATTCCAGAACACCAAATGCAGCAGTATTTCTGTCTGAGAGAGCGCGGCCTGCATTGAAGAAGATGGAGGCCAGTCGATGACGTGGCCAAAAGGAGGAAAAGCTCTAACTTCGAAGACGGTCTTGGTTGCAGCCACTATCGGGTTGACGTGTTAAGAAAATGAACACGGTTGGTTGGAGACACTTGCTGGCATTGCCAGAAGTTGACCACAGTAGCGTCTGCGTGGTGAGCTCTTTAGTCCCTTCCCCTCTCGCAGTTTTCGCCTCCAACCAATAGCACACTACTGGTGTTAAATAAAAAAAGAATAAGACCACCTGTAACGCTTTTGTTTATCCCTTCTTTCTTTCTTACAATCATCCAATTTTAATGTTTTTGTCTGTGCTACATAGCACAGCCTAACCCAGAAAAGCACCAGACGCGTTTCGCCCTATGGGGCTCGTCAGTGGTGTGCATTCCCTTGGTCCCCTACTGGGGATCGAACCCATGACCGCTAGAGGCAGATGCCAACTAGCCAGCAGCTTAAGCCACTGAGCCATGGGGAACGTCGGCTGGGCTAGATACTTTGCAAGCTCCTGGGACGATAACATTAAAGTTAAAAAATCCTCCTACTCATTAGTAATATAGAATTAGCTTCCCCTATTTCTAAATGCTAAGGACTTAGCGTCTAGTAAGAGGAAGTCAGGACCTTCGGAAGCTAGCCACCGTCAGCTGCTAAGGTAGCAACCTGCATGGCAGTGGGAGGTAGGTCGTGCTATATCCCAGTTAGCCTGCAAATTATGTGGCCCAGCCGACGCCTCCCATGGCTTAGTGGCTTAAGCTGCTGGCTAGTTGGCATCTGCTTCTAGTGATCATGGGTTCGATCCGCAGTAGGGGACCGAGGGAATGCGTACAACTAACGAGCCCCAATTGGGCGAAACGCGTATGGTGCTTTTCTGGGCTAGGCTGTGCGATGTAACTTGTGAGATCCTGGGACGAAAACATTAAAATTAAAAGAGCCTCCTACTCATTCGTAATCATCAAATTGCTTTGCATGACAGCACAATAGCCATAGTGCTTTACACGGAAACTACCTGAAATACTACCAGTTCGGGAGACCGAGCTAAGCAACCTGATGGTAGATATTTCATCACCAATTCAAGGTGGCATCATCAGTGCCTAAGGGGGAGCGATTTCGTGGCAGGAGCTAGAGGAATGCAAAGCTGTGACCGATGACTAGAGCACGTGCATTTAATTCCCCAATCCGGCTACATTTGCACGTATTAGCTGCAAACACTGTGCCGAGTCGAGCAAAATCGAGAAGCGCCTAGTGAAAAAAGTGTCAAAAGAGAATGTAGGAACCCACCAAAAGCGCAGTCGGGTGGGTGCTTGTTGTACTATTGGATAGAGCCTACGAAATCACTCATATCGGTCTGCGGATATGCTACCAGACACGCCACTGTGGGGATCGCGTAATCGCTCCTTAATTTATACCATTTAACCAATCCATCAAACAAATTTCCTGTCCACTCTTGCTGGAATAATGTCATCGTTAGGTATAATAATGGTATTGTCTTTTTCTGGCGGAATGTATCAAAGAGGACGGACTCACTGCATTAATCAAAATTGAAAAACCGGGCTAAAGTGAATAATAAATAAATGATGATAGAGGCAAAACAGCAGTACCAAAATGTAGGGTCAGTTCCGAGATATTTGGAACTGAATAACCAGATTTCGATAAGAAAGGTAACTAAGAACGTGAGCAAAAAGAGTGCAGGGAAACCCAACAACCAACCTTCGCTATTTTTTCGCAGACTGTGCCTTTTCCAACGCCTGGACCGCCCAATACGAAGCAAACATTAAACTTCATTGAATGAAGAACGGGCTTTGAATATTGGGTACAGCGAGAGTACAGCCTGAAACCGATGACAAGAAAAAGTAATTAGCAAATAGATGTATAAGAATTACCATCTGAAATCTCCTGGAAACCAAGTGAAGGCAAAAACAAACGGAAACTTAGCCGCGCGAAACACAAGCTGAGAGTTCACTCGCATCGGTGACAGACAATCGATTCAGCTGTAGTGTAGACTGGCAAAAGCACCCAAAACACATGGAGATCGGTAAGCGAAACACAATATTCAAGGATCAAAGGCAGATAAACTAACAATAATAGTAGGAAGGTCTTCTAGAGTTACCGTTTACTGGATTCAGTCCGATTCCGCTTTGCAACTATGATGCAGGAACTGAAGTGCAGTGGATACAACTTGTATCATCATAGCTAAAGAAATTGATAAAGACAGGAAAAATGAGAGAGTACATAATATATGAATTAGTCAGATAGGTGAATCGTCGGAGAAAGGAACAGCAAAATGCACCATAGGATATGCCCGAGCCAATGAGTTCGAGGCTGCATCAAGAAAGAATAGACGCCTAACTGCTAATGAGGCCAAATGAGAGCGGCTATCGACATATTGTCCTAACTAAGTTTTTTACGAATGTTAGCCATGTAGTCTATTGGTCACAGTGACTTCATCTGAACAGTTAGACCAATATAATACAACGAAAAGATTCGAAGCATATCAACAGGGCTACCGGGCTAACACGAGCGGTTAAAATTAATAGCCTGATTCTATACTAGGGTCGAGTCAAGCACCAATCGGGAGCCATCTGCATCACTCACCGGTAGTTCCAAAAGCTATAGGAATACCATACTACAAGTGGATAAAGGCCAAACAAGAAAATAAATATTTTGGGTGTTGTGATGCATAGATTACTTATTACTGGTGGGAAGCAGCAAGAAGTGGTTTCTCTGTGTAGCTGCATCTAATGTCACTCAGGGACAAAGACCCCTTATGTTGGGGTGCACTCGATATATTTCATATCGGCAAAGTGTTTGTCCAGGAATTTCTTAAAACCCACACCGACTTTGCCTCAACTAGGTGCTGCGGCAGGTCGTTCCAAACATTCACCATTGAGTTGGTGAGTGACCCGCCTCAAATCCGGTACGACAAGCTTGTAAGGGTTTATAAGATACACATATTCATCTGCATGTCGTAATTTGTGCTAATGGACCAGAATCTTGATAAATCTTGAGGCAACACTAATTAGGAACACATCAAAGGACAACTGTTTTGCAGCTACACCGGGTAGTGTGGTTTAGATGCAGACCCAGGCCGGATGGATGGTGAAACTGACAGGTACTCTGGAACACCACAACAAAGAGAATAACGTTTGATCAGAGTGCTATCCGTTTTGGATAATCAAAACAAAAAAGATACATGAGTAAGGGATTTTGTAATGTAATCAACTGAGAGTTCGACGTGGCAGCTTCCAAACCAGATAGTTCTCCACATGGCCAAAAAAGCGATAGACGGCGTCTCATCAGTAGCACGCATCCATCGGACCCACCAGTGTCCGAACCCATGACAAGTAGCGGCTTGCGTTGCCACCCAGCCAGCACCTTAGGCCAATGAGCCATAGAGGACAGTCAAATCGTTATAATTTGCAAGCTAAATGCGATATAGCGCACCATATCCTTCACTGCCATGCAAATTGCCGAGGACAAAGTTGACCCCAAAAGACACGACTTCCACTGAAGTGCAACATAGGAAGCAGCTAGTGTTCATGTGTTCTGAACCTGATGGATTCGCACTACTGACGACAAGCAACAGGTCGAAACGGCTGTCTAGTGCTTTTCCGGGCATATGGAGGAGTTTGGAAGCTGCTGCGACAAACAGAACAGAAAACGTAGAAGTAGAGACCGTGCTGTATGCAAACTTTCGGTTGTCATTGAAAGAAGTAAAGAAGGAAGTAGTGCGAGATGTTCGGCTTAGGACCCGTTTCTGACAGCTTATTCCTCTCCAGTAGAAATTTGCTGTGCTCCTGGTGACTCCCTTTATCTAAGCAGTCGTGGACATAAATTGACCATATTGATATCAGCTATCACTATCATTACACATATGCTGAAGGTGGGGAAACACACTTAAAAAGATGGGACTGAACGGATTACGTAAACTACTGAGGAATCAGCCACCTATACGTTGTAGCCATAGTTTTCGCTTCCCTGCTATTACGGAGACTCAGTCGAGTACGCAAACAGCAGGCTAGGTTCCGTCCAAATTAGAGCTATATTGATTACATCTTTAAGATCGGCCAGATACTCGGACACCGTCGAGCTTTTAGTCGGGTTACCATCGTTTGCTTCCTGAACATAGGTGCCGCATTTGACTCAGTCGGCCATGCTGCTCTCTGGAGTCTGTTGTGAAGGGAGTACCCGAAAAGAATGTTAACATCCTTCAAGCCATTTGCTCTCGAGCGAGTGTAAGAACTTTCGACCCCTTTGGTCTCATGATCATGCCTAACGAAGTGTACGTTGAACCTTCCGAGAACAAATAAACCTATTTACTATTCATCGGTAGGGTGAGGCACGCTACCCCGCACCGCTCGTTTCACGTCTTAGAACAGTGTGCTTAATGACATCGAATTACTACAGGGTAATCAGTTCCGTGACTTGGAGTATGCTGACGACATCGTCGTAATCTATGACTACTCGCAGGCTGCCCAGGACATGAAACGCAGGTTGGAGATTTCTCTCACAGTTCGTAACGGCGTTTGCTCATTCAAACCGTAAGATCTTCCGTAAGACTGGTTAGAATCCGTTCCTACCCTCACCCTCCCCGGCTCATTCATGGAAGCGGTCGATAAGTTCGTTTACCTTGGGAGTTGAATTACTGTGAGCGGATTAACGGATGAAAGCAAATTGCGCATCTGCATAACTAGAGTGGGCTTTGCCAATACCCGACATCTCTGACACCGCCGTGATCTCAGTTGATCACTAAAGGGTCGAATCTACAACGCTTCCGTATGAACAGTGCTCCTGCATGACCGCGAGATCTCGCCCGATCTCGCGTGCAATGCCCAGAGACTGTAGGTTTTTTAGACCCGCTGTCCCCGGGGCATCGCTGGTGTACGTTGGCAACATCGCAATAGCAATGACGACGTTCAAAGTCTGATTTTCAAGCCAGATAATCTTACCGGACTACTGAACTGTATGCTTTTTTTGCGTGTGCTCTGGTAGCTCGGGCACGTTTTCGGTTTGCCAGCTCAACAGTTTCCCCGTTGCGCTTCGTTGGCGTTGATTGTAGATGCCGGATAGGTGACCAGCACACAACCTGGATCCGGAGTGTCAAGGTGCAGAACCTGTAGTGCGCAAAAGTGAGATGTTCCAGACTCCCGGATTGGGAGCCCAAGGACCATAAACACACCTTGTTGGTAACACTATTGCATTTAGTCCGAGATCGTACACAATGGCGAACGTGTTGTAAGACTCTATTCCCCTGACTGCATTATCTCCCATGTTTGCTGTTACAAATGTGTATTGGCACTAAGCTCATTGTTTATCGGTCAAGTACTGAATACTACCGTGAAGAACAAGCTGGTGTCCGTCCCGACCGTGGATGCGTAAGTCGACTCTTCAAACACCGCCACCTGTACCTCACACTCGCCATCGTTACATTCCCAGATATACGCGTTGCAGTTAACTCGGTTGATCGACCTGCGCTATGTCGTTGCTTGCTAAATAACGGGGTGTCTGAGAAGTATATCGCCATCCAACACACATTAAACCTTTATATCACCGGTAGAGTTAGGGTAAACGTCAAGCTTTCCTCGCTCTTCGCTGTCAATAGCAGTGTGACAGGACTGCCTGATGTACCCATTTCTCTTCAATTGAAGGCGTGCTGTCGAGAACCCTACGTTTCCAGTATTTCGGCTTAGAGCTTCTACAGAGTGAGGCGCGGCCAACTTAAAGTACGCTGATGATATTGCCTTACCCGGTTACGATAACCAGAGTATGCAACTCATTCTGAATCGCTTGGTCGTTAAACCATCTAGGTATGACATCGGTGTGAAGTGCTAGCTCAGGACGGGTCTACATCCACTCCCATGTTCACTCATATAGGTACACAGTACGAACGGGTAGATAGTCTCGTCTATCTTGAGAGTCGTGTTTCCGCCAGCGCTTCCAGCAACAGAAAAGTTTCCCTCTGCATCATTCATTCATCATCAGTATACCCATTAGCTAGTAGAAAACATCTCAGATACAAAAGTCCGATCCGTATCTGTCAATTTAAGGTAATTCTGACGTCGTTGGTACGTCTGCATAACGCTAAAGTGCCGCGTTTACAGTACCTCTGTTCGTTCCGTCGGTTGTATAAGAGCGAGTCTTGGACAATTCGTCAGAAGAACACGTTGTTTGATGATGATCGATCGCGTGTGATGGCAACAACGAAATTACACTGATGACGTTTGACGTTGCGTCCAGAAAAATGCAAGTAAGCATTACAACAAGCTGATTTTACTGCACCAGTGGAAATGGTCGGTCACATCCTAGGCATGGTGCCTGGGCGTTAGCCGTGCTGCGTTCTACTCTCCCAAGCAGGACCGGGCTAGAGGCAATGGCGCAATGTTCAAGCTTCCACTTAGCGACTGCCACCGCGAAGAGACTGGGCCTAAACGGGGTGGGATGGTTTGAGTGCCTCAGAGATCCCTTGGGCTATGCTGGGTGATGCTTTTGCACCTTCAGAGCCATATACCAGATTGGTAAATGGTTAAAGTCCTGATAAACAGAGTCTCCTGGCCCTCCATGTAGGGTTGGAGTGTGGGTGGTTCCTTACTTCATAAAACGGACTCTCAGTAGCCCAGTGCCCAAACCCCGCTGCCTTGCGGTCAGGTTTTTGAACAAAAGACTTTGGCTGAGAACCCTGATCGTTTCCCTGTCTAGGCTTGGGTAACCTGACAGTATTCTGCCCAAGCAATACAATGAATCTTTCTTCAAACAATTCCATGATGTTCTGATCGCCGCATAGGATAATAAACGGCGCCCTACCTGCTATATCGAGCAAGGTGGATGGGGGGTTGGATGCCACTGCTCAAGCCTTCCCGTCTTCTTATCCCCCGCTTATGCTCTTGCACTTTTATCGTCCCGTGCCAAATTCACTTTTATTCCCGTGTTTTAAACCCCCCTCCTATGCTTGGCCTTCTATCATCTTGGATCAGTAATTGTTTATTTTCTAGTTTCGACTCACACGCAATCGCAGGGCGTCGCTCCGTCCAGTCGACAAGTCCATGTCCAGCTAAACGGAAGTCAGTTCATTTGCTTCTTTTTTGGAACCTCCGATTCTTGTTAAGACTGGCGTGCCTCAATGTGCGCAGTTCTTAGCAGGTTGGCTAACAGGCAGCACTTGGCTGAACACTAAAGACCCTATCAAGCGATATCTGC